GCTATAATGTAATTATCTTAATCTTCACTATCGTTACTTTTTGCCCAGCGAAGCGGGTCCTTGCAGCTAGATTCTAGATTACTTAGAAAAACAGTCTTTTATATATAAAAAAAAACTATTACATACAAATAATAACCCAGCGAAGTGGGTCCTTGCAGCTAGTACAGTGATACCTCGACTTACGCTACCCCGACTTACGCGAACCCGGAGTTACGCGATTTTCAAATCTCGTCGATTCGTATTTTGTTTGAGCAACTCTTGATTACTTATTCCCTCCACACTATTGTTCAACTTACATGTTCGGACGTGTCGCGCGGAATCGACACATATCTACAATTTATTTTGTGTTATTTATTTCTGTGTTTGTTATATCTAGGGAGACTCGAGAGTTCTATGTGGTGATTTCTTGTAAAAATGAACGAATCAAAAGACGAGATAAGATTAACGAGAATATTTATTAGCTTACATACATCCAATTTGGATTTTACACACATTGAGAAATTATACCCCGACTTACGCGGTTATCGCTCGGTCCCACCTATCGCGTAAGTTTGGGGTATTACTGTATATATATAAAAATGGACGTGTGTGTTCCTATATTTCACTTTTCAGCCAAAACTACACATCGCATGTGAATGGTGTTTGTATGTGGTAGTAGCCCCAAGTCTCCATTTGTGCACTATGCGGGTTGCGTCTCGATAGCTATAAGGGTGCGGGAGATATGGGGTTGAAAGTGGTTTTCTATTTCAAATGTTTTGTTCGAATTTGTTCGAATTTGAATTCAAACATAAAATTCGAATATTGGTTCAATTATAGAACGATTGTAAACATTCCAGAAACGTTGAAAATAGTTCGTTTGACTGGACGTGAACAGGAGATGTTCAGAAATAGAATCGGGACCAGGTCTCTAATTAGTCTGGAAACGGGGGACCTAATTCTTGTATTCTGTGAAAACGGGTAAGATTGGCTATAATGTAATTATCTTAATCTTCACTATCGTTATTTTTTAAAAACCCAGCGAAGCGGGTCCTTGCAGCTAGATTCTAGATTACTTAGAAAAACGGTCTTTTATATATATATAAAAAAAAAACTATATTACATACAAATGTTCGAACAAATAAAAACCCAGCGAAGTGGGTCCTTGCAGCTAGTAAACAATATTTACAGTAACATTATGTGGTAAACTAAAATTGAAACAAACAAAATATATATTGAATAATATTGAAGTTACAAGATCGAAATTTGTCATGAAGTGTGCAGTAACACTTTGAGTTTTGTATGTGGTTGTCACTCGATCTGACAAAATTTTACTTCTTGCCATACCTTGTTCGAGAAGTCCTCATCAACCAATTCCTAATGGTCCTCTTGTCATTTCCTAGTTTCTTGCCTGCCGTCCTGGTTGGGTTTTTATGACTGCATACAAATCATTCACACACTGGTTCTGTGGCTTCACCGTGAGGCTTTCTTCTATTGCTATTCTTTACATCCAAGGCCCACCAGTGGTCAATCGGTTCTGTTCCCTGAATACTGGGAATTCAGTTGTGGGTTCATGCCTGGCCAGGATGGGTTGGCCTCTTGGAGTTTTCTGGGTTTTCTCCACATCTGTAACATTTGAATAGTGGCCAGTTACCCTTAAAAAGACTTCCTGGAAGGCATTCCCCCTAGGCAGATCACCCAAGTATTGTGTTCCCATAACTTTAATTAAACAAACTTTACATCCAAACAGTTGGTTTTGTATAACAATTTACATTGTGTTGATCATTGTTTGCTTGGGTAAGCTTATCGTAAGTAGAAACTGTACAGTCGATCCCCCTATGAGACAGTAGATACGTTCCGTTCTTTATGAATCAATTTTGTAGGAATCACAGCCTTATAAATCCAGAGGGCGTTTAACGTTTTGTAGTTGGCGAAAGCAAGATTCAAATATGGCGAGCACGAGTTCGACAACCATGGCTAAGCCACAAAAAATTCCCAAAGTTGCAAAGGTTAGGATCGATTTTAAACTTGATTTATATTTATATGAAAGATCTACTTACTGTAATAATAATTACAGAACGTGTTACGGAATTAACATCAAATAATTCTGTAATTTTGTAATTATTCTGTAACCTTAACTAAAAGGAGATAAATTGTAGGTCAATTTGATTAAAATTACAGAAAATATTATTTAAATAGCATAAATTTTGATGCTCGTGATTGATTCCCTTTAATCATTTTATGTGAATGTTTATCTGTTTCAACTGTTGTGTGTTAACTGTTGGATTAGCTATAACCACAACACAGGGTGCTTCATAATATAGTTAACTGGTTTGGCACTGTATTGTGATGACAGTATTGAAGATACATTCATCATTCATTTATTCATTCAACCTTTCTTTGGTTCAAAGTTGTTCAATCCTAATACTGCTTAGGCACAACCGGGGAATAGTATGGAAACAAAATTGAGACAATACAGAATATTACATCTATATATATATAAATGGACGTGTGTGTTCCTATATTTCACTTTTCTGCCAAAACTACACATCGCATGTGAATGGTGTTTGTATGTGGTAGTAGCCCCAAGTCTCCATTTGTGCACTATGCGGGTTGCGTCTCGATAGCTATAAGGGTGCGGGAGATATGGGGTTGAAAGTGGTTTTCTATTTCAAATGTTTTGTTCGAATTTGTTCGAATTTGAATTCAAACATAAAATTCGAATATTGGTTCAATTATAGAACGATTGTAAACATTCCAGAAACGTTGAAAATAGTTCGTTTGACTGGACGTGAACAGGAGATGTTCAGAAATAGAATCGGGACCAGGTCTCTAATTAGTCTGGAAACGGGGGACCTAATTCTTGTATTCTGTGAAAACGGGTAAGATTGGCTATAATGTAATTATNGATACCACCACAATTTTTTCACCGTCTTATAGCAATCGTAATTATAGGAACCCGTCTTATAGGGGGATCTACTATATTGACCATAAGAAGTCGTTGCCGCATTTGAGTGCCCGACTTGTAAGTCTTATGGAATGTTAATATGCAGGTGTTCTGGTATTAAAATTCCATTTTCTCAGACATAATACTAAGGAAAAATCTGAGCTACTTACACCACTGGAAAGAAACTTGGACTATAAAAGAATATTTCACAATAAGCATTACTACTGCTTTTAAAAATACACAAAATAATTGAAGAATAAAAAAAAGCCTTTACAGTTTGTCCTTGTCACACCTTGGAAACATAGCAGTTAACCCAACCTTTTCTTATACCCCATATAAAAAAAGAAATTTTGTAGCAAGTATGACAATACTATAAAATAATTTTCCATTTTACTGATATTTTTGTCTATTGTTTATAAAGTTTAATATTTTAGTGTACTTATGAATAGGTATTATATTAAAAGATTAGACTAAAGCTTAGAATCAAGTTGTCGATAATACAGGTAGAAGTTACCTTTGGATCATTCATTTATGCATGTATATATACACGAAATACTTAAACACTAACTTAAGTACAAACTTCTACCATACATATGGTTTTCTAAACATTTTAATTCATCTGTTTCAACTTTATTTGAAAAGATTTGATTTTCTATTTATAGAAAAAACTTGTATTGCTTGTAATGTATTTAAATAAGTATTTATGGTCTTATACATTAATTAATGATTTTCACAAGAAAAAAACATCATATGCAGCAGAAAGAATAGTGTACAGCTGAGAATTAGAAAAGATTACAAACTCTGAAGAATTAAGAAATGAAACTGATTGCTTATAAATATCAAAAATTATTTATTTTGCAATGTTTCAGCTTCATTTCCTGCCCAGAGTAGGACTCGAACCCGCAACTGACGCTTACCATGCAGATGTGTTATCAGTTATGCCATCCTATAAAAAATTCAAATCATTACATAAATATTCATTAAAAAATTGCATATTGTTAGAAATCTAAATATTGTATATAAAGTTACTTGTCCTGACTGAGTGATTGACTGATTCATCATCACCCAGAGCAAACCACTGAACCTAAAGAGGTGAATTTTTGTACACAGTTAGGGTACGTCATGAAAATGCACACTAAGAAGGGATTTTTCGAAATTCCCCTACAGGGGGAGAGGGAGAGGGAGAGGATTAAGGCTTAACCTGAAGAACGGCTTCTACTGTAATGTTTTAGATGCAATTTTTTGTTTTTAATTACGTTTTAGTAGGGTACACCATGAAAACGCACACTAAGAAGGGATTTTTGGAAATTCCTGTAGGGGAGAGGGAGAACATTAAGACAACCTGAAGAATGACTTCTACTGTACTATTTTTGATGCGATTTTTTGTTTTCAACTACATTTAGTCTTCATTGAGTACTTAGGTGTATTAAATTGTTAACATTTCAGACATTGTTATAAATATTTTTTAACCAAATGTTCAAACCGCTTTAAATTTGAATTTGTTATTGCATATTGGTTTGCAATAACCGCGTAAGTCGGGGTATAATTTCGCAATTTGTGTAAAATCCAAGTCGGATGTATGTAAGCTAATAAATGTTCTCGTTAATCTTATCTCGTCATTTGATTCCTTCATGGTTACAAGAAATCACCATATAGAGTCTCTCAAGTCTCCATAGATATAACAAACACAGAAATAAATAACACAAAATAAATTGTAGCTATGTGTCAATTCCGCGCGACACGTCCGAACATGTAAGCCAAACAATAGTGTGGGGGGTGTGAGTAATCAAGAGTGCGTGGCACTCAAACAAAAGACGAATCGACGAGATTTGAAAATTGCGTAACTCCGAGTTCGCGTAAGTTGGGGTAGCATAAGTCGAGGTATCACTGTACTCACAGCATATCAAACTAACACCTCACATAATGGAAAATCTAAATGTGTCTGTGATATCACTAATAGTAGTCAATCAATTTCCCAATTTACAGAAGTGTAAGAAACATTTTTAAGAATTTATTTAGTTATTTTTTTGAGAATTTTATCTGCTTATGTGGTACCTACCCCTGAATATAAATAGCTTATTGAAATGAGCTATTTTTACTGAGGAGTGCCACTTAAGTGGCTGAAAATGTTTGTTTCGACTATGATCTGGAAAAAAGTAAGAACCGAAAGGTACTCAATTTTCAGCTGCATTTTTTTCCAACAAATTTCTTTATTGCTGTGTCATATCATAATGAAATGTGTACAGTACTGCATGCAGATGTACATGTTATTGTGTACAAAGCAACTGTTTAACAATCATTTTAATTGAAAGCAATGTTTTAAGCATTGTATATCCTACTGTAATATATTGCTCACATACTGCATATATAACAAACTATTATATTATGTAAAATTAGTTGGGAGTTTTGAGTTGACAGTGTAAAGCATTGCATTTGTTTCCATTCAAATTAATGTTTTTTCTGCAGAATGTCTGATTTTTGAGAATGGATTACCGACGTTAAGTGGCAAATGCCTGTAACTAGCTTACTTAATTTTGGCATATTTTTTAAACAAATAATTTATTTTACTATGTACAGTTTTCCATTAATTAGCAAATTAAAATTAAAAAATGCAGCAATACTATTTTATTATTAATTAAGATATATTTTGAAGAATTTTATATAATTTTTAATGATAAATATTTATTTTTTTTAGGTGAAAAATAAAACACCTGCCGAAATTCAAATTACTGCAGAACAGCTGTTGAGAGAAGCGAAAGAAAGAGACCTCGAGATATTGCCACCGGTAAGTTTATAATATTATTGTAAATACAAACAATACACGATTATATATTTGTATAAATCTATGTAAAAATTTTTTTAAAATAGCCTCCCAAGCAAAAAATATCCGATCCCGAAGAACTTGCCGACTACCAGCTTCGTAAGAGAAAGGTTCAAATGCATTATTATTTAAATATATTATTTTAATGTAATAAATTTATCAATAATAGCGAAATTTATTTTGCAGACTTTTGAAGATAATATACGTAAAAATCGTATGGTAATAAGTAATTGGATTAAATATGCTCAGTGGGAAGAAAGCCAAAAGAAAGTCGATAGGTAAATTTTTTAATACAAAATACGGGTATGTGTCACTTAGCGATGGGCTGCACCTATGACAGAGGTACCTTAAGATGATAATGGAGCTGTAAAATTCATAGTCGCCCACACCTTTTCTGTGTTAAGATACATAAATACTTATCATTGTGTTACATACAGCCTATATGAGTAGTAGACTATATGATGTAAGATTTGTCTAAGTACACCTTATGATGTTAACTTAATGACATATTTCTTGAAACATATCCCTGCAGTTAAGCAGTATTTTATTAAAATTTGGTTTTGCAAAAATAATATGAATTTCAAATTTTGTAAATTTTTTGAGTTTACATATTTTATTTTAAAATATCCAGATAGTTTATAATATATACAATACTTCTTTAAACTGCCCGTATACATGGTGTCCTGCAGAATGTTATGCTAGGATTAGTTAAAACCTGTCTATACCAAGTAGATAAACATAAGGAACAATCTAATATTGAAATAGGACAGAGTCTTAAGAAAGCATTGCATAGTTGCTCGTAAAACTATAGCAGGTATGATAAAACCTTTAACAAAAAAATATAATATCCAAATTGCAATTATTAGGTTATTCTCTATCATATAGGTGATTAAAACAGAAAGAGCTGGTGCAGGATGTTAAAAAACTAGGAATTTGAATACACTAATTGAGAAATCAAGTCTTTGCATTTTGAATATTTTAAGAGAGCTAAAAGATTTCAAGATGGCAAACACTAACAGAGAAATCTAAATTAAACAAAGGGAATAATGAATTTTTCTATGTGGGATCCACTTTTATGTCTGAGAATCTGTTTGAGGAACATTTCAATTTAGTTAGCCTATATCACACTAATAGTATGGTATTAATGCAGTGGACTCTAGAGAAAAGTCACAGTTGGTTGAAACAGTCTGGTAGTATTCAAAAGCAGGTACTAAGTTAATATTAAGTCATTAAGTTAAGGTATTAAGTTAAATTCTTGAAGTATACTTCTGGAATTTAATTTAATAATAAACATTTTTGTTTTGATTCAGGTAGGGTTTCTTTCCCGGGATTCTCGCCGTTTATTTCCTACGAGAAAAATCCCGGGAAATTTTATTTTCCCGGGAAATCTCGCATTTCAATAATAATTTACCATGTCAGGTTTTCTTTCTATTATTTATTATACGAAAAGTTGCATCTTGAAGACTCACCTAAGAGAGAAATTTTGAGGTTTTTTGCTGCATATTATTACCTATGTTTTACAAGTCTCTACTTGTTAGTTCATGTAATATCTATGTATTGTGTTTGCGCATCATTGAACAGCGGAGCC